GTGGGGATGGCCACGCCGCAATCCCTTTTCCCCCATTCTCCTCTCGGGATCTTGGGCATGCATGCACATGTGCCCGGCATGGGTTTTTTAAGCCACTGGGTTTGGGACACGAACCGCAGTCAACTTATGGGAGTCCAGCGACATAGCCATTACACCAACTGCTAGTCCCTAAGTTTACATTTCTAAAACCAGATGAGAAATCAAGACTTTAAATAAAAAAATCTGGGAATCAGCCAGATAAAAAGAATTACAGAAACCATAGAACCCAAGTCCGTGAGTATGTGCAGGAAAGACTAAGGATAAAGGAAAAGTGAACATCAGAGAAAAGCAGATTGGATGGGAGGGTGAGCCAGGGGAGCAGGGCATCCCAAGGCAGTGGTGACAGTCAGCAGTGGGGAGATAGAGTTGGTAGGTGGGACGGGACGCAAGTAGAAAAGAGCGTTGGATTTGACCAGAGCCTGTGTCACGTGTTAAGTCAGACTGGGATTTGACCGGAGTCTGGGTGCACCGTCTGTTCTTTCATTTATACTCTTCATCACTAGTGATTCCAATCAAGGAGGAATTTTTCCTTAAGCAAAGATGTGATTCGTTTTGGCTTTCTGCTTCGTGTGGCCTGGCACCTATAGGACATTGTTGTCACTTGTATCGAAGAGTTTATTTTGTGGATTGTTTAATAGTTATCAAAAATCAGGGCCATATTTTTTCATTGCTTCTATTATAGGTAATTATGTTTGACTTTATATGTACATAAACATATAGATATTTATGAATAATTACTTACAAGGGTTGCAATAATAGTTACAGTAGTTGGAGAATTAAAAATCAACTTGTGTTCCAATGTGAAAAATTTAGGCCATTTCTCCAAAATGATTTGGAAGCCATTTGAAATCTCATTAAACTCTCTGGTTATGAGAATGTTACTGAGCAACAATAATAAGCCTATGGCAATAAAAATCTTGGGTTGTGTGTGTGTGTGTGTGTGTATGTGTGTGTATGTTTGTGTTTGTGTATGTGGATATATCTAACCGATTATAGTTACTGATAACTCCTGCAGACATGGAATACTTTGCTGTCTTGCAGCTTCACTCTTCTTTCAAGTCACCTTTTCTCTGCTGCTCTCCCTTCTGTCCTTACTCTTTCCTGCACGTGCACATATATGTGCACACACATCCACATATAAGTGAGCTTACCTTATAGAAATAGAAAGAGTAACTACATTTACTAAGCACCTCCTTTGTTCAGGAGTGTTCGAGAAGTCCTGGAAAGGAGCTGTCACCACTCCTAACTTAAAGAGCACAATTGACGTTCAGAAAGTTTTAAGAGATTTGCTCTTGGCCACAGAGCTAGTAAGTAGGAGACTCTGCGCCATTTTACTCCAAAGCCCTTGCCTTGTCCAGTACCTCTTTGGATAGGGTCCAAGTAATATCCATAGGGAAAACAAACAGTAAATGAGAACTTTTTCAACATCCTATCCTCCTGTACTGCCTGTTTACACCTCTGACTTTTTTTTTTCTTTTTCCTTAAGAGGAAAAGGCTTTTTCTTCTAAGCACTTGATTCATTTCATCTGCTTGTTTGTGTCATAGGGTGTGTGTACTTGCTGTACTTTTTTTTTTTTTTTGAGAGAGATTTTTCACTGTAGGGCGCGTGCGCTCTCCAGACAGACAGAGAGAGACATAGAGACAGAAAGCGAGAAATAACCCCCCAGGGGGGATGGTCACGCCGCAATCCCTTCTCCTCCATTCTCCTCTCGGGATCTTGGGCACGCACGCACACGCGCCCGGCGTGAGTTTTAAGCCACCGGGTCCGGGACACGAACCGCGGTCGACTACGTGGGAGTCCAGCGACATAGCCATTATGCTAACTGCTGGTTCCCGGGTGTGTGTACTTGCTGTAGAGAAGCAGAGAGAAAAAGTGAGAAGTCACTCACCTCGGGAGAATGGCCCTGCCACAATCCCTTTTGCTCCATTCTCTTCCTGGGATTTTGAGCACGCACGCTCACAATGCCAGGTATGATTTTCAAGTTGCCGGGTCTGGGATTCAAACCATGGTCATCCATGTAGGAGTCCAGTGCTGTAACTTCTATGCCACCTACTGGCCTCTATCCCTTGTATCTTTAGTGTTTCTGTGTCCTGCTCTTTTGTTTGTTACCAGCTTCTTCCATGAACATAAATTAGTGTCTCCTTAAAGTGAATTTTCTGTATATTAGTAATTGCTGTGTAACAAACCATGCCAGAATCACCTTCGTGAAGTAAACCAAGGTGCCATTTATGTAGCTCACTGTTTCGGGGGTCACCAAATTAGGCTGAGCTCAACTGGACTTACTCATCTGTGGTCAGCTCAACCTCTTTGCTTCTGGAGCATCAGCTGGCTGCTGGTCAGGACTGTCAGGGGGACTAGAGCATGTGTCTCTTTCCATCTTCCAGCAGGTTAGTCCAGACTTATCCTCATGGTTGCTTGAGAGAGTTTCAAGAGAAAGAAGCCTGCGTGCCCTCTTGTTGTCGAGGCTTTGTGCTCATGGAGTATTCCTTACTCTTGATTCTATCAGCCAAAGCATGTCACAATGCCAGTGCAGGTCAGGGGGTGGTGAACACAAGTGGACCCTGGAGCTTTCCCTTGGCGCTAACTCCAGTTCACCCTTTGGGACCTTAGTGTAGTATCCCCTCAGCCTGAATCAAGTGCCTGGCTCTTGGTCTCCCTGATTGTGCTTACAACATCTTGTGGTAGTTGTTGGTTTTCTTCTTAGTGGAAAGTCTACTCCTTAAAAACAAAGACTGTGTTTAATCCAGGATTTGTCACATAGCAGGTAACTTTTAAAAGCTGAAGTTATTTTTTGTGAGAATGAAGCATTGAGGCAGTTGTTTTCTGACAGTATGGAAGTTGAGATTGAAGATAATCTGTGCTGGGGCCAACAGGTGGCATGGTGGTTCAGGCCTGGATTCCCACATGGCTGACAGTGGTTTGAATCCTGGACCTGGAAGCTTGCTTTCTCCCCCCCTCACCCAGTCTCTCTCTAGTCAAATTTAAAATAATAATAATTAAATAATTCTTTTTTAAAAAATAAGCTATGCTTATATCCTAAAATTTGTTTATGGATGTTTAAATACTTTGGAACAAACTCATTCTAATATATCAAAATTGAGTATTTCTTTTAAAAAATGAAAGGGATGGGCCAGCAGATGGCGTAATAGTTAAGGTGCTGGACTCCCATGTGGCTGACTGCAGTTCAAGTCCCGGACTCAGCAGCTTGAAATTCATGTCTGGCACATTAGAAGAGAATAGAAAAGAAGGGATTGCACCTTGGCCATCTCCCCTGGGGGTGATTTCTCGCATTCTGTTTCTCTCTCCTGTGAGTGCATATGCCCTTAGTAGAAATCTTCTTCTCACAGAAAAAAGGAAGGAGTAAAGAATCCTCGCCAGGTTTCTGAGAAGGAATCATTACTCACTGTTTATATGCTATCTTTGGAGGCTTTTCTTTAGGTTACAAGTTGTTGGATAAGGTAGACAAGTTAGAACTTGATGGCATATTTGTCAGCTAAAGCATACCTACCCATTAACTGGTTTGTTGGGATTTGGGATAAGATTTCTGTTTCAGAATGTAAAATGAAGGAGGAGTCTCAGCCAGCATCCTGGATGTTACCTCTGGAAGACACTGATAATAAATATTTTTATTTTAATGGGAAGTAAGATATGCGTAATGTGGATTTTTTTTTAAGTCAGTATGTCTTATCAGTGTAATCATTTTTAATGTAGATTTTTATGTGTGTTTTTTGTTCTAGGTTCAGCTGTCTTTATTATCTTCCCAGGTTCCTAAGACCTGACTGTATTTTCCCACTGCCGGGCTGTTTTCCTGCTAGCTAACCATGCAGCGGAGATCGAGAGGAATTAATACCGGTCTTATTCTGCTCTTTTCTCAAATATGCCATGTCGGCATTAACAATATTCCACCTGTCACCCTTGCAACTTTGGCTCTCAACATCTGGTTCTTCTTGAATCCTCTGAAGCCACTAATTTACTCCTGCCTTAGCGTGGAAAAGTGTTATCAGCAAAAAGACTGGCAACGTTTACTGCTTTCTCCCCTTCACCATGCGGATGACTGGCATTTGTATTTCAATATGGCATCCATGCTCTGGAAAGGAGTACATCTGGAAAGAAGACTGGGAAGTAGGAGGTTTGCTTATGTCATCAGTACATTTTCCCTGCTCACTGGAGTGGTGTACCTGCTCTTGCAGTTTGCTGTGGCTGAATTTATGGATGAACCGGACTACAGGAAGAGCTGTGCTGTAGGTTTCTCAGGTAAAGCCCATGTATTTCCGGGGAAACATACGTGAGGGCAAGGGAAGTATGGCTGCTGTCATAGTGTGAAGTATGGGTTTTAGTAAGTGAACTAAACTGAATGTTAAAGGCTAGGGCTTGCGTCTTAGAGAGGAGGCTGATTGGAGTAAAGCAGGGACACAGTGTTCTGTTTTTGCCATCTCATGCTTCCTCAGAGTGGCTTTTACTGTCCATATCTCTCTCTGCATTGTGGACACAGCTTCTTATTCAGTCTCTGAGAGTTCCAGTTTCTTTCTAAACTGTTCTTCTAGGACTCCATAGGAATGTAGGCCTCCCTTAGCCTTCTGCTGTGAGCTCTTCCAACCTCTGCCCAAAGCAGCTTTCACATTTTCAGATCTCTGTATAGCAACACACCCCCGTTCACTGCCCTGATTTCCTGTATTAGACTGCTTTTGTGTTGCTAACAGGAATACTTGACACTGGGTAATTTATAAAAAAATAGTGATTTTTTTTGGCTTACCATGGACAGAAAGTCCAAAGGTGTGGGACTGACATCACATATGGCCGACAGACATAAAAAGGGAAGGAAGCAGTCATGTGGGGGGCGTATGGTGGTGGGAGAGACAGGAAGACACCAGACTTTCCCACTTTCCTGTTTATCCCTCCCATATTCCCAACCTATTGGATGGTGCCCCCATATTAGGCCCTGCCTCTTTAAGATCTCATCATCTCCCAAATCCTTTACACTGGGGACCAGTCTTACATAAAGCATACATCTCTGGGGGGAAAAAACCATTATCGAAACTGTAGCTAAACTATTTTCTTACAGTAATGGAAGCTAAAGAAAAGGAAATGTTATTAAGCAATTATAAGTAAGAGAAAGCACATTTACAGTGTTTATTGAAAAAAATTCACATGTAAGTGAACCTATGCAGTTCAAAGCCATGTTGTTCAAGGATGAGCTCTATTGGTGTGTGTGTCTGTGTATTTATTTGAATTAAAATTCATACAGCATAAAGTGGACTGTTTTAAAGTATACAGTTCAGTGACATTTTATGCTACTGCTGGTATTTCACTCCTGTTTCATGTGCTGTAGATTTGGTAGCACACCGAAAGTCAGTATGAGCTTCCATGTTAAAAAACATCACAGGTATGATTGCCTCAGACATCGTTTATTTTTACTGAATGCCAAGTTGTAATGAATGTATTATATGTCAAAGCAAAAAGTTGGATGTAATCAAATAATCACTTTTACTTTTAATTAGTTTTTTTGTAAATGTTGACTCCACTTTTGGATTGTTGATATTTGTTTGCTCTTTATTCTCTTTTAGGAGTTTTGTTTGCTTTGAAAGTTCTTAACAACCATTATTTTCCTGGAGGCTTTGTCAATGTTTTGGGCTTTCCTGTACCCAACAAATTTGCTTGTTGGGCAGAACTTGTGGCTATTCATTTCTTCTCACCAGGGTAAGTGTTTACAGTGTTAGAACCAATGATCTAGATGAAATCTTTCCTTTTCAGATGAGGACATGGAAATTCAGGAGAGTCAGGACGCATCACACTGCTCCTGGTAGATACTTGGCTAGTTAGGATTCAGGCCTAACTCCTGCCCTGGTACTCCTGCCCATTCATGTTTTACCATCCTCCTTTGGTTCCTTTTTCTTGCTTTCTGTTTAGAAAAAGAAGGGTGGATTGTGTTATTTTTCTACCTCTTCTACCAGCTTCACTGCACTTAGTCAGTATTCAGCAACTGGAAATTATGGTTTATTTTTACCTTGGGGACATGGACCCTGGAGAAAGGGGATGATCGGGAAGGTTCAGGAAGAAGTAAGAAGTACTTTTTGTTGTTGTTGCTGTCCTTTTCAGACAGGGTTTTTATTTTTGTTTTGATTTGTGTGACTGTGTTGGGTATCATACCTTGTTTGGGAATATTCTCATTGGACTGTGTGTCAGCCCAGTAACCTTGAGTCTCTCTTTAATGCTAATTCCCATCATGGCCAGCCATTGGCAGCTGGTCTATAAATGGGAGTGATGTGGCCACTCAACACTACTCATTTACAATTGTATTGTACTGGTGACAGTGCAACAAAGAGAGCCGAACAAAATCTTCAAAGTTTTCTTTGAAAAAGAGTCTGGTAATGTCTGTCCCTTATCCGAACAGCCCTCTCTATACCTTGTCACTCACAGCTCCCCCGACTTGCTTGATGTGACTTGGTCTTCTATGTAGAGGGTAGGCTCTTGTATGGGACTGGCAACACCCAACATTCATATGAAAATCACTCCCTCTGGTACTTGAACTTTTATCCTATAATGAATCCATTGAATAAAGGTGCCTTTCATATTCTCATGCAACTATTTTTCAAGAGCTCATCATGCATTTATTTTTTTAGGGTCCCCTCCCATGTACGTGGAAAATGCCTGGTTGCACTTTTGTGTAATATGCTTATTTTCTGTAGAGGGACCTGATATCCTGAGCCTGGGAATTACACGAAATTTCCTGTCTTTGAAGTTTGAAAGAATAAATCTTTCAGTTTTTAAGATTTGACTGCTTTGAATGATAAACTTCAGATATCCAAGCATCTACTTATGCATGTGTCCAGAGAAAGACGGAGCCAAACACTGGTTTAGGAAACATAAGAAGCCAGGGCTGCTCTGAGATGGATTTTGGAAGAATGGGAGAAACTAGAGCTCTCTTTGCTTTGCATTGTTCTTCTGGTGGTTGTCAATTAGAATTTTCACTGGGAAAACACTGTAAACGGTCAGAACAAAGCCTGCTCTATCACAGGACTGGAAGGGCTGCCCTTTGGGAGAGGGAAAAAAATCTTCCAAAGCAAACGTTTGGTAGACCTCTGTGTTTTATGAAAACCAGAGAGTTAGTCATTTCCCCATTTACAGAGTTATGAAGGAAAGCCACCTTGAAGAGGGCTGTTAGGCACGGTGAGGAGGGAACCTGACTACCAGAGCGATGTCATCACGCACACTCACGTGGTGCTTTTGCTTTTCACAGTCCTGGCAGGGTGGACTCAGATCAGTTTGCCCCATCCCATCCTTTCATTTCCCTTCCAGTCCTAGGACTTGGTTAGCCGGTTGTGTTTGAAGAGCTGTCCCTGCCCTGAGTGGCCCTGGGGCAGTGTGCTTGCCACTCGAGGGACCTGTCTCTTCACAGACAGGCTCTGGCCCCTTCCTACCTCCCACCCCACCGGCTTCTGTGGACTAAAGGAAGGGGTATCTGATGCCAAGTTTTACTTTCTAGCCTAAATTATGAAGCTGCGATTTCTCATGAGTCTTTGGCTATCCAGACAGATATCCAAAACTCAGAGAAACACAGTCACAGTGGGCAAGTGTAAGAGAGGCTGACATTCTGGCCGAGGGACCTCAGGCAAATCACAGCCTTTCTGGGCCTCATTTTTCTTATCTGTAAAATGGAAATATTACCTCCTCTGTTGCATAAGTCACTTTTAAGGAGTCAAAGGAATAATTCACAAGAAAGTGCTTTATAAACAATAAAAAGCACTTAACCCTTTCTTTTTATTTCTTTTTATTATGAAATAGATCACTAGATGTGATTTCTACCTAATTTCTTTTCCTTTTTAAAATTAATAAAATAAATCAGCTGTTATTTCATTTTGTTTGAGTTTGACTCTAACACTCTTTGCTCCTGCTTGATTGTTCTATCCTGAATGACAGTGAGCTGTCTGAAAATGCCCGGAAGCCACTCATAAACACTAATTAAGCTGGCCATGGCTGCACTGAGGCCCTGGGGAGATTCTCTGGGATAATAGGGCAGTTCTGGAAACACTAGCTCGTTGGTTTTGGATACTGCTTTACTGCTAATGTTTGACAAGAGTAATTACTTTTATCTCTTGGTTAGATTGATCAAGTGAATGAAAAAATATAGTATTTTTTTAACTTGTTCCACTTTTTTTTATTATAACACTTTTCAAAGATAAGGAGAAGTTGTTGAAGGATAGGAACCTTGTAATTACTTATTCCTAAAGGCTTCCCTATGCATCTCCTAAAAATAAAAATAAAAGTATCCTATTTAAATTTTTTTTTCTTATTTTTTACATTCAGTCACTGAATGAATCTTTACACCACTGAAAATAAATTTTCCTTTGAGGCCAGCAGGTGGCATGGTGGTTAAGTGCGCTGGACTCTCACATGTCTGACAGCAGTTCAAGTCCTAGACCTGGCAGCTTGCTTTCTCACTTTCTCTCTCTCTCTGTCCCTCACTGGTCAAATTAAAATAAATAAAGATAAAATAATTCTTAAAAATATTTTTAAAGAATTATTTAACTTAATTATATCATTATTATTTTTCAGTTTGATCAGAGAGAGACAGAGAGAGAGAGAGGAAGAGAGAAAGCAAGCCACCAGGTCCGAGACTTGAACGGTGGTCAGCCATGTGGGTGGGAGTCCAGCACCGCCTTTAACCACCATGCCACTTGCCGGCCCGATAAATCTTCAAATTTTTTACCCAGCTTGAATACCCTGTATGTTAGACCAGTCAAAGAAAATAAAAAAATAATTAAAGATATTCTTTTATATAACCACATTACTATTATCATATTAAAGAGAATTAACAATAATTCCCCAATGTTGTCTAATAATTAGTACATATTCAAATTTTCCTGGCATTCAAAACATCTTTCATAACTGTGTTTTTGAGGACCCTTAGTTCATGTATTGCATTCAATTATTGTATTTCTTTGTTCTCCTTTATTCTGGGACAGACCTTCCACTTTTTAATTTTTCTATGACATTGACATTTTTTTTGTGGGGGAGAGTTGTTTTTTTTTTTTTTTTTTTTTTTTTGGGCT